CCCCCTGCCACTTCCTGAGAGCTATTAATGATTATTTCTGCATAAAAGAGAAGTTTATGTAGTTAATCACTAGGAACATAAAGATAATAAACAATTTTGTAGCACATAGTGCAGAAATTACCTCTATTCAAATAAGTCTGTGCATGTTTTCTCATTCTATTTTACAAATAAAGAATGGCTTTCCTGGAATGATGAGTTTCCAGCCACTGGAGATGACAGAAGATCACATAATACTTAAAGGCTCGTTCATGAAGTTATAATTAGAAAAAATCAATTTTAAATATCTCTAGAGAAATGTAAGACTCGAACAGGGAAGGGAAGCTTTTACAGTTATTCCCAGAGAGGGTGGGGAGGGGCAGGGGAGTGTAGCAGCAAAGGTAGGTGGTTTAGGAACCTTCCAGAATTCTTCGCAGATGTGGACCACTCTAAGTTTACATGCATACTCCCTTCATTAGCTTGAGGGGAAAAAAAAAAAAAAAAACAGTAATTCAGAAAGACTGAAACAGGCTTCACAAAGGAAAGTCACCATGGGAGCGAGTGTCAGGGTGGAAAGCTCAAGCCCGAGTGTTGGACTCGGGTCTCAATCTCATTCTGCACTCTACTTCAACACGTTCTGGGAAGACACTTTCTTCTAAGTCCGCAGACCCTCCCCACTATTAAATTATGGAACTGGGAAAAGGAGCTGATGGCGATGATGAGGATCAGAGGAAACAAGACGCTGAGTGTGACGTGCTCAGCACAGTAGCTAACATATACTAGCACTCAGTCATTCTGGCTGTTATTAGCCCACAGCAAACAACTGGTAGGTAATAATAAAAACAGAAGCTAAAGCACCATATTCCCCTACAGAAAACAAGTATTTTAACAAAATGAATAAGTCAACATGCTTGATTTTTTAAAAATTTTCTATCACAGGAACCAGAAGGTGGCATGCTGGTTAAGGCACTGGAGTCCTACTTGGTTGGCTGCAGTTCGAGTCCTGAACCTGATGGCTTGAAACTCACACCAGCCATGTGTGGGTGTGTGCCCAAAATCCTGGAGGAAAATGGACTGCAGCATGGTCATCCCCCACGGGGTGATTTTCTCTCTCACTGTCTCTGTCCCACTGGCAAGCACATACATCCTAAGGAAAAAACCTTTAAAAAAAAGTCATAACTTGGGACCAGCAGTTAGCATAATGGCTATGTCACTGAACTCCCATGTAGTCGACTGTGATTCGAGTCCTGGACCCGGTGGCTTAAACTCACGCCAGGCGTGTGTGCGTGTGAGCGTGTGTGCCCAAGATCCTGAGAGAAGAAGAGAAGGGAGGAGAAGGGATTGCAGTGTGCCCACCCCCCCCGGGGGATGATTTCTCGCTGTCTCTGTTTCTCTCTGTCTCTCTGGCGAGCACAAGCACCCTATAGCAAGGACCTCTCTAATTTAAAAAAAAAAAAAAAAAGTCATAATTTAGCATGTTATTTGAGGAAGCCTTTGCTATTTATGCAGAAGAAATTATTTTACAATACTGAACATGTAATAATTTTAAAAAGCAAGTTTTTAAGTATACTCTAACAAGTAATATTTCCTATTATATCAAAATTTTAAACTTTTTTTTTTGGTAAGAAACTGAATCATTGCAAATGTGAATACAGTACTAGAAAAAAGTTGCTACTCTTATCTTCTTACACAAGGCTCTTTAATTTTATTGTACTTTAGGCCAGTCTCATGCACAGAGATTATACTGTGCAGACGGAGTTGACTCCCACGTGGCCCACCAGAATTTGAGTCCCCGCCCACCATCAGGCATGGATATACATGACCGGATACAGAACTGGAAGAAATACGGCATGACAGGCCCTTCTGGAGGGTGCTAGCCCCCCCCCCCCCCACCCCCCCCCCCCCTCTCTCTCTGTATTTCTTTCTCTCTCTCAAACACTCACATAGACTCCTTCTGGCATACGAAAAGGATGATGATAATTTTACGGTATGTGGGGCCGTCAGACACTTTTGTGATATAAGTTTCAGTACCAGTAGTTTGTATCTCTTTCAGAGACATTTAATCTTACCCACTAGTTCTCTAAATGTAAGCTCCAATTTAATTTGTTCCGGGGTGGATCCTCCTACAAATTCCGTCTTAAATTCTAGATCTGTGAAGGCTAAATGAAGGATCTCCTTCTGAAGTGACTTCTTAAACCATGGTCCCCTTTCTTGATCTGATCGAAGATCCGGTATTGGGAAGCGAACAGAAAGGTTCAATGATGGCGTGGCAACTTGTACTGATATTCGACAATTTGAAGGATTATGTGAATCATCCAAAAATACTTCCGTGAAAGCCTTGTGCTAAAACAGAGAATATCACAAATATGCCAGAACATGAAATTAACTGACTAAACATGAGTGTCATTAGTATTCGACATTACAATATGTACAATCACTATTCTCCATTCAGTGTAATGCATTAATATATAATTCAAATCAACTGAGTAATGAAATTTAATAATGCAGCAACTATTGGCAAAAGTCAGAACTATTTGTAAAAGTTAAATCATGATATAAAAAAAACAAAAATAAGGGACCAGCAGTTAGTGTAATGGCTATGTTGCTGGACTCCCATGCAGTCGACCACAGTTCGAGTCCCAGACCCGGTGGCTTCAATACGCCAGGTGCATGTGCGTGCATGCCCAAGATCCCGAGAGGAGAATAGAGAAGGGACTGTGGCGTGGCCATCCCCCCTGGGGGATGATTTCTCACTTTCTGTCTCTGTCTCTCTCTGTCTCTCTGGCGAGCACACGCGCCTTATAGCAAAAAACTCTTAAAAAAATAAATTAAAAATCAAAATAAAAACTAAACCAGAGTGAAAACAGACACACTACAGGTGTATATATGTGGGGCCTTTAGAAAGTTCATGGAAAACATGCATGATGAGAAAACTATGCATGGATTTTACCTTTTTTAGCACCAAAATAATCTTGTACTTTAACTCCATTTTTCACCAACTCTCTGAAGTGGCAGAATACTGTATAAATTAGCCATGGCAAATTCGATACAGTTCATGGTCACTACAGTACCCACTAGTCAATGTGAACCATGTATGCCCCAATGCGCTACTGTAAAGACTCAGGGTAACCTTAGAGGAGTTAAGCCAACTAAAAATGCCAACTCTGGTTCATCTTTATATTGCCAGGATGGAGCCCAGAGCCTGCTACCTCACAAGTGCTACATAAACAATAACTGGACAATTCACCAGTCCAAGGGGACGACCCCCAGCAATGGTTCTTAAAAACTAGAACATATGTATGCACCATCTGTCCAAAGCCATGTTATAATAAAAGGGTCAAAGAACAAGCCATGCAAAACAAGCCCACTTCCTATTTTTTCTCTCGAACATATCGAGACTAATAAAGCTTTCAACCATTTTAGGTAGTAACACTCTCAATTTCTTGAATCAGTTTCTAACCTCCAAGGTTAGAAACCTGGGTCAGCCAGGTGGCATGGTGGTTCTGACTGGATCCCCCATGGCCGACTGTACGGTTCGGGTCCCAGACCTGTGCTTTCTCACTTTCTCTCTTTTCCCTGGTGAGTCTCTCTCTCTCTCTCTGGCAAGTGCACGCAACCTTATAGCAAAATAGAAGAAAAACTTTATTTTATGAGAAATTTTTGCTATAGGGCACATGCACTTGCCAAAGAGACAGAGAGAGAGAGACAGAAAGCAAGAAATCCCCCATTGGGGTATGGCCACACCATAATCCCTTCTCCGTTATCCTCCTGGGATCTTGAGCATGCACACACATGCACTGGCCTGAGTTTGAAGCCAGTGGGTCCAGCACTCAAACCACAGTTGGCCACATGGGAGTCTAGCAACGTAACTACTACACCATCTGCTGGTTCCAAAATAAAACCATTTTTAAAAAATAATATAATGTGATGCTTAATAGATTATTGTCCCTTATAGCCTACATTACTTGAGCTACCTTTATTTTATTTTTAAAGTTTTGCTATAGGGCATGCATTCTAGCCAAAGAAAGAGAGGCAGAGTGAGAAATCACCCCCTGGAGGGATGGCCATGCCACAGTCCCTTCTTCGAACTCTTTGGGACTTTGGGCACTCATGTGCATGTGCCCACCGTGATTTTCATGCCTCCGGGTCCAGGCCTCCAAGTGCAGAATGAGCTACCTGGGATCCAGAGCCTTAACCTCCGTGCCACCTGCTGGCCCTGGGCTACACTTTTTTAAATGTAATAGTTTCAAGTAGTTTATGCAATGAGAAAATAGATAAACTTTTATGAAGATATTATGCTCATAACTTACAAAATTCAGATCAACACAGAAAAGGGAAGAACTCTACTATAACAAAATCATGGTAACAGCATGTTGCTGTTCATTTTCTTAGATAGGTCGGTGTTATATACAAACTTGGTTCGTTTTCTTAGATAGGTCAATGTTATATACAAACTTGGTTCATTTTCTTAGGTCAATATTATATACAAACTTGTAATAAAAGTTTACGTAGAATGCATTCTACTTTTTCACTTTATACTTCCCGATGAGATTTCTATACTTTCTTCGCAGCTATTTTAAATCACTTCCTAAAATTTCATTTGGTATATTATTAAACCCTTTTTAGTCTGCTACCAAGATATGTTGTTTTGATAATGCATGCTGTTTAATCTATTAGGAATACTTAAAAGGCTGGCCCTACAGTGCAATGGATTAAGAGGACATGGGGAAAGGGGACCAGCAGTTGAAGTAATGGCTATGTCGTTGGACTCCCACGTAGTTGACCATGGTTTGAGTCACAGACCTGGTGGCTTAAACTCACACCAGATACATGTGTGTGCGTGCCCAAAATCCTGAGAGGAGAATGGAGGAGAAGGGAATGTGGCATGGCCATCCTCCGGTGAGTGATTTCTCGCTTTCTGTTTCTGTCTTTCTGGTGAGCGCATGCGCCCTATAGCAAAAACCTCTCCAAAGGGAAAAAAAAAAAAAAGAGTACATGGGAAAGGGCCGACAGATAGCATAGTGGTTAGGGCACTGGACTCCCACATAGCCAACTACGGTTCAAGATTCAAGTCCTAGACATTGTGGCTTGCTTTCTCACTTTCCCTCTCATTCTCTCTCTGATCAAATTAATAATAATAATAATAATTTCTTAAAAAAGAAAAAAAAAAGATTATATGGGAAGTAGATTCCACATGGCTGACCACAGTTTCAATTCTGGCCCCAGTGGCTCAAAAAACACACGAGGTGCATGTGCATACATGCTCAAAATTCTGACAGGTTGAAGATAATGGAATTAAAAATAATGTGCAGTAAAACCACATTCCATCAGGGGTACCTTCTCTGACTCTCTCACCATTAAAAAAAAAAAAAACATAAGCTCAGAAATTATCCCAATATGTATATTAGTTAACTATAATTATGATTAGTATTTAAAACCTGTTGGACTTACCAGACTAATATGCTTGTTGTATGACGTGTACATGTGAGATGCCATCATCTCTACTGTACTAAGTTTCTGTGGTTGAAGCAAGGAATTTAACCTGTCCACAATACTGATATCCAATTCACAACATACTGGATTCAATTTAATTTGTAATTCTGCCTTCTGAGGAACAGAACTAAGTCTTGCTTGACTGCCCTAAAAAAAAAAAAAAAAAAAAATTGAAAATTAAAAAAAAAAGAAGGCATTAATATGATCACTAATAATAATAAGAAATCAGGTTAAAGTTTCCAATTGTGACAAAGCATGTAGCAAAAGAAAGTTTACAGGTGGCGAGGGATGGCTTACCTGGGGTCCTCTGTTCTCAGAATGCTTATAATGAAGCTGAAGACATGTCGGGGGATGAGAGTCAGTTCCTTCTTTGGAATGGAACGTTAAGAGCTTAACAAAAAGATGAAGATAAATAAAATGTAAGAAATTAAGCTACAATTAATCACATGGATTTACTGAGGTATGAACAGTGGGAAGAGCTTTTGAAATGAGAAAATCTAGCTTTAAGTTTCATTTTTTTGTCACTTACTAGCAATATGAGTCTTAAGTTAGTTCCCTTCTATAATACTATCTCATCTGCAAAATGTAGGTGAGGATTCAAATAATGTCACAAAAAGTTCTTTAAAAATAAAACAACTTAAGAGGCATAGTAACTGTAATAAATTTAATTTTGATAGATTTAATAAGTTTCTCAGACCAAACAGTGGCGTGGAGGTGAAGGCAGATGGATCCCACATGGCTGACTGTGAGATTTGAGCCTTAGACTTGCAGCTTGAAAAATCACACCAGGCACATGTGCATATGTGCCCAAAATCCCAAAAGGAGGGAGAGATGGAGGAGGAATTATTCTCTGTGTGGATGCTTTGCGTTGAAATTTGGTTGCTACTATAACACTATTTAAAAGGTAGAAACTGGGGACCAGCAAATGGCATAATGGCGTAATGGCTACATCACTGGACTCCCATGTAGTTGACCACGGTTTGAGTCCCAGACCCGGTGGCTTAAATTCATGCTGGGCACATGTGCGTGTGTGCCCAAGATCACAAGAGGAGAATAGAGGTTCTGGGATTGTGGCATGGCCATACCCCCTGAGGGTGATTTCTCGCTTTCTGTCCGTCTTTCTGTCAAGCACATGTACCCTATAGCAAAAACCTCTCCCAAAAAAACAAACCAAAAACAAGGTAAAAACTGGGCCAGCTCTGTGGATGGTGGTTAAGACAGTCAGCAGATCCTGGGGCTGGCAGGGGACGGGGGGGGTTAAGGGAACGAACTCCCCCGGTGGTTAAGGGCACTGAACTCCCACATGGACAACCGCAGTTCGAATCCCGGACCTGGTGGCTTGCTTTCTCTCTGTCCCCCCACCCCCAGTCAAATTAAAAAATAAGTAAATAAAGTTAAATACAAATAATTATTAAAAAAAAAAAAAGTCAGATCCCACATGGCCAACTATACAGTTTGAGTCCAGGACCCAAGGACTTGAGAAACACACCAGGCCCATGTGCATGCACACCCAAACTCTCGAAAGGAGGGAGAGATGGAGAAGGATCATGGTGTGACCATTTTCCATAGAGGGTGCTTCCTCCTCTCTCTCTCTTGCTCTCTGGCACACACACATACTCTTTAGCAAAAAGAAAAAAAGAGAGGAAGAAACAATCTATGTATCAAGAAATGGAGCTTTTGAGAAGTAAAAAGGATTAGATAAGGCCATAGGGTGGGGCCCCATGATTCAATACTGGTGGCTTTATAAGAAGAATGATGAAGACCAGAGCTGGTACACACTCTAGCCCTCCTGCCTTGTGATGCCCTGGGCTGCCGGAAAACTCTGCAGTGTCTCCACCAACAAGAAAACTCTCGCCAGAATCAGTCTTTGACCTTAGATCTCCAGAATCATCAGCTGAATAGACCTCTGTTCTTTATAAATGGTCCAGTCTCTGATACGCAGTTAGAACAACAGACAGATGGATTAGGACAGCGGGCATTCAATTAGTATTTGTCCAAGAACAGAATTCTTCCGACATGGAGTGCTTTAAAAATGAGTGAAATGACATCATTTGTCTCATAACCTATCATTCTAAAATAACTCTAAACTAAACCTTGAACAGTCTTATAATGACCTTGAATTCAACATCCTAAAATCTGTTTCAAAACAGAAATGCAAAAAAAAAAAAAAGGCGAAGAATTCACCTGTATGATTTCCTATACATTTTAAAGAAAATCATGGCTGTTCATACAACTCCTAAAAAGTAAGACAGATTTAAGAATAATCCTAAAGGAAAACCACCCAGCATTTACCTCTGTGTAGTGAGGAGGGACAGAATGAAAATCCGTTGGGAACAGGCACTCCAAACACTCCATTTGCCCAATGGACATATCAGTGCTAAAATAGCGGAAAGTTGATCTTTGTCTTTGTTCATAGGATACTTTGATGCCAGTACCTATAAACCTATGATTAAAAACGAGGCCTTTAAGAGCACGCATATACTTCTAGATCACACAACATAGCATACGTAGTCACGGAACAGCACACCAGTGTTAATCCACAGCGATTCCCACCTATTCTGACGAGTCCAGGGTGTTAGGGATAGCAGTAATAACTGGGGATATCAATCAGAAAGACTGCTTCGAATTTCCTAGTTCCTAAAATAAATCAGTTCTCTTGAGAAATTTCCTAAGATATGTTTATTTCCCATCACTTTTCCACATTTTAGAGTTTATACTGCAGAGTATGAAACCTTTCAAATCTGAAAGTATATAAAATAATTTCTTAAAATTACTTAAAGAGAAGAATCATGCAATTATTTTTAAAACTTCAGTTAGAAGGGCCCAGATGGAGTCTAGATCTGGTTTCTATTGTTTTTGTTATATTTTCTGCTGCCATTCCACTGTCTGAAGCCTTGTCAAAATGAAAAGAAAAAAAATATGTTTATCATTTGAATATAAATATCATGGCCCTAACCTACAGGGTTTCTCCCATTAGGCATCAAGGCTACTTTGCATATCAATTTTAATACTTAGAATTTAAGGTCAAAAGTCAAAATATAAGCCCAAAGTATCTTCTAAAGATGTTAATGTGTCTAAAGCACTACATAAAATAACATGCTGCTAGACGATTTATAGACTACGCTCGCGTTAAAATAAACAGTATTTGCACTTGAACAATACTGTCCTTACATACTCAGTTCCTTCTTCATGTATTAGGATTCAACCCATGAGAGGAGCACTGGCTGTTGGACAGGTGCTGAACTTAAGCAGAAGCTGAAACCTAGCATTCGAGCTCAAGAGTAGCCTTTGTTTTGTTCCCAGCCTCACGGCCAGTGGCAAAGGGGTCATATTCAAGTAGCCCCTGTTCACTAGTTCAGTGGATGTCACCACCACCACCCTCTCTGCCAGGGACGGTAAGAACCGTTTCTATGACTGTAATGGTGTAAGACGTTATAGTAGCAAAATACAGTCAAAGAAACTAGATCAGAACAGGGCAAGGAGCTAAAGATATAATTTTAAAAACTTGAGATTTCCTAGACCTTTCATCAGCCCTGTTCTGCATGCCAAACCACCTGAGTGAGATTCTATACTAAACATCTTTGTAGCATTGCAAGACAACTTTATTCCATTCATTTACAAACAAAACATGAATTAGAAAAGCAAATACAGAGAGCAGATAGATGGATACAAAAGCCCACATATGGTTCTTTTTTGAGGCTCACTAAAAACTATGAAAGGGTTTACCTAAGGTGATCATGCGAGCAAGCTTCTGCAAATACTGCTCGGAAAGACTTAAACTCTTCTGTTGAAAATCTTGCTGGGTCAGTGTTTCCTATACAAGTAAAGAAAGCTACTGCCATAGGTGTCAGTGGATTAAGGTTCAATGACGTTTCAGGTGGAGATAAAGGATCGATGTGAAGTACAGACACTGAAAAAGTTCCCACAGCTAGTCTAAAAATAAGTTCAGGCCTGGATTCATCCACTGAAACAGATCTAGAAGGGAGAGCTGAAATACATGTGCACGTTACGTACAGCAAACGTTATACCTAGAAACTATCTATTATAACAAAACTATAAAACCTTTACTCATGCATTACTTTTAAAAACAGGTGATTACATGACAATATGATATTAAACAACGTAAAATAAAACAATTATATTGCAGTATCTTATATCCAAGATCTTAAAACTTTATGTGTTATGACAGTGAACACGCGAACAAAGCTCCCACAAAGCATTTATAAAATATACTGGAAAAGTCAAGATTTGCCCCAAGCTGCTCACAAATTGCCACTAAGCCTGTGTCTATTAAAATTAAATTTTGTGAGACCAGCAGTTGGCGTAATGGATTGCAGCGTGGCCATCCCCCCTGGGGGGCGATTTCTCGCTGTCTCTCTGTCACTCTCTGTCTTTCTGGCAAGCACACGCACCCTATAGCAAAAAACCTCTCAAGAAAAAAAAAATTAAGTTTTGCAGAGAAGAAACCTGAGTTTCTCTTTCAAAGAATATAAGAACAGTGAAACAGAAGTCAAATGGTTGATTGAAATACCTAAACAGCAACAACAACATGAAATTTGAGGTATACTTTTTCACTAAAAAATGTAATTATTTAAATACATAAAAAATACAATGAATGAGCAAGTACGCTTAAAATACTTCCCAGTGAATTATTTGGCCCTGCCTCATTTTACGTCTAAACTTTGTTAAACTGCCCTATCTATTTATCTACCTATCTATAGACATTTATACATGAGAAGAAAAAGAAAAGAAGCCGTAGAATGGCATTCTTTAAAAAGAAACCTAAAAAGAAAAATCCCAGTAGAAACTAACAACAAATGTCTTATTTCTACTCACAGGTCTTCTGCAAAGATGTGGGGTGAACTAGGTTGGATGGAAACGCGGACCCTCTTACCGGCTGCTCCTTGTGGTGATCAAGGAAATCCCAAGTGGGCTGAAGCTATAAGAGATTTTTTTCAAAGCACATCAATAAGGTGCAGAACTTTAAAAGCAACTTTTCAAGAACATAACAAAAACTAAGTAATACTTTACCACGGTCGCACTTAACGGAGACCCTGCTGGGGTATTTGTGCGTGTACTAGTTAGTGAGAGCTCAAGGTCCACATTCGGGGGGTCTCCAAGGGGTGGAAGAGAAGAAAGACTATGAGACATGTCCATATCAGCCATGGAGAAGAAAACTTCTTCTTCTAGAGAGAATTAGACTTTGTCACTTAGAGTTCCACCAATTTTAGTCTTTAAAGTAAGTTAATGTATGTTAATATAATCTTCTTCCTTCAGATTATTGAGATATAATGGTGCCCCAAATTTTATGTTCTTCCAATACAGTAATTAATTTGAATCCAATATATTAATGGCATAGTTAAAAACTCAATTAACTATGTTAATGGAAGGTAAACCTATCCTATTGATACATATGTTTTATTCTGTTTTCAAATATACAATGAGTTTTGTTTTTGTTTTTGTTTTTTTTTAAAGATTTTTGTTATAGGGCACGTGCACTCACCAGAGAAACAGAGACAGACAAAAAAGGGAGAAGTCACCCCCTATGGGGATGGCCATGCTGCAATCCCTTCTCCTCCAGTCTCCTCTCAGGATTTTGCGCATGAACATATACATGCCCAGTGTGAGTTTTAAGTCACCAGGTCCAGGACTCGAACCACAGTCAACTATGTGGAAGTCCAGCAATATAATCATTACTCCATCTGCTTGTCCCAAGATGGTATATTTTTAAGTGCTATATTACAATTTAGGAGATAAAATCCAAATTTAAAATAGTACAATTTCATTGCAATCTCTGTTTTCATATGTACACAGCTATTCTTTCTTTTTTTTTTTTTAAGAGAGATTTTTGCTATAGGGCAGGTGCGCTCACAAGCGAGAGAAAGAGAGACAGAGACAGAAAGCGAGAAATCAAACCCCGGAGGGAGAGCCATGCTGCAATCCCCTCTCCTCTATTCTCCTCTCAGGATTTTGGGCACACATGCCTGGCATGAGTTTTAAGCTGCCAGGTCCAGGACTCAAACCACGGTCGATTATGTGGGGGTCCAGCAACGTAAGCATTACTCCATCTGCTGGTCCCTGTACACAGCTATTTCTTTAGGGCGGGGGTG